GGAAAAAGTTTGAGAACCACTGATGTAGTGCAAGGTAAAGAGAGTTTGATAATATTGTAGATCTGTAGAACCACATAATTGAGACTGGTCTTGATTTATATTAAAGAAATTTCTAGAGCTGCATTGCTAATAGAAACATTTGAGTGGAATTGTTTGGAACATAGTCATTAGATTTATTGTAATGTTCAGAATCAGGATATTACCAGTTTATTAGTTGCTTATACTACTTGTGAAGAAATTCAAATTTTGAAAAATATTTTACTTTAAAAATTGTTTATATGTTAAGATTTTAGGATCTGTAATTTTCATTGAATCATTCATATTTCTTCTGCATTACACTGTAATTGTAAAGAGACACTTTGTTTTGATTTTCAGGTCCACTCAGTACAACTGGCCCACGACCTGCTACTCCCATTCCATATGTACAAAATGCTGTATACGATTTGTATAGCACACAACCTAAACAACCTAATATTCCGGGGAATGGTAACTCTTCTGCTGCTGCTACTACTGCTACTTCTGTTGACTCTTCAGGGAGAACATCGCGCTGGCCCTCTTGGGGTGGCCTTAAGCGCCTCCTCAATTCCAAGAAGCAGCTTTTGTTTGGACGAGATAGAATATCAAGCAGTGGAAGTTATGACCCACCTGTGTCTTCTCCTCCAGGGTATTACCCCAAAGACCCAGATTTCAATGATTGTGATGATGTGAAATCAAACCTTTTGATCCATCAGAATGGTTTAGTGGCTTTAGCTGAACCCATGAAGAAGTCACCTATAATCATGGACACACAGGTAGGGTTATCTTATTAATATTTTTGGTGTGTTTTTAATAGGCTGAGAAAGTGCACTGAGATTATTTAATGTTATAAACATGGTAATCATGGGTCTGGTCTGTCTCTCAGTATTTTCTTGTTTTCTTGAATTTTTCGATGATTTTCTAATTGTTAAATCATGAAGTATTTGATGGGTATTGAGAAATATATAAGAGTAATCCTCCAATAACCTTTTTTGATTCAAAGAGATAGCTTTATGACCAAAAATGACATCATAATATCATCTGCCTATTGTAACCTTCAGCCACTGGTAGGAAACAAATACTTTCTCAATCCTTTATTTCAGTTTACACTTAATGTGGATTACCATTATGTTTCCCCATACTCTTCATTTATCTGAATCAGTAATGTTATCTTTCAGATCATTCTTTCTTTTAAACTTTTGTTTGAATTAATCATAAACCATTTAACAATACACAGTTGATACATCATAATGAAACTTGCAATCGATATTCATTTTATGACGATATTCATAACAAACGTGTTTCATTAATACTAACTACCAAAGTACTCATATACCTTATTGAAATATTACAAAATACTTTTTATTCATACACGAGAGATTTGTTTATGAAGTATATATGTGCTTAATTTTTTTCATCAGGTGTGTCTCCTACCACCCAGCAAAACAGGTGCAGGAAAGACATCAGATGGTGTTGTCACCTCTGTTACATCACCAAGCAGTCACCACACCACCTCATCACCTCCTCCCCCACCTCCCCTGGAAAGCAGTGATGATAGCAGAGCCAAGCAGCAGCGAAGACCATCCACATTGCCTCTTGTGCCAGTGAAGACTTCGAATGAAGCCCCAATGGACCGTGGAAGTATTGAAGAGCAATTTCAAAAAGTGTTTGGCTCCAATTCAAGATCTGAATCTTCACGCAGATTGAAGGATCCAAGTTTACGTGTGAAAACGCCGGGTGATGTTCCTCCATCAGTACGACGCTTGCGCAGTCGTGGTGCAAAAGGGTCTACTACTGCACGATTTTCATTGTATGATGACCGAATGATGTCAGGAGGAGTTAGTGGGTTGGATGAAGAGCTGATAGGATCTGCACCTGATATTAGTCATAAGTCTTCTGCAGGATCTGCAACAGCAATTTCAGTAACAAAGCAGTCACCTCCAGGCATTCTTAAAAGCAGCAGCAGAGAACTGCGAGCCAGTACAAGCTCAGCTTCCAGCTTCTGATGGGCATAATAATTCTTGTAAGTTCCCCTGTGCTTTACAAATTATTTACTGACTCATCTTGACTATTTTTTGGACTTGAAGTTATAGAGGGAAATTTGAAAGACAAGTGAGTGAAATGAACTTGAGTGAATGTTCCATATACAAAGGAAAAATGTATAAAGTATAAGGTATGAAAAATAATTACTTTACTGTACAACAAATTGTGGGAATTTTGAGTGATGTGCTATTTACAAATAATTTTAATAAAGTTCTATTATGTTTGGCCTAAATTTTCAAAATTATTTTTCTCAGATACTAAAGAGCATTTCTTCTTGTAAAATTTAGTCTGGAAATAATAAACTGTGATTTAAGCAAAATGTACATTATGCACCCACCATTGATTTTCTTCTCAGATATGATTAGCTATTTCTACTTTTGTCATTGAATGACACAATTTCCATATTTTATATGTAATCCACTTCTCTGAAAGAGGAACATTCATTACAGTTCACGACATTCATTTTAAAGTTCTTAAATTGATTCTATTTCAAAATTGCAGATTTGTATTGGATGATGAGCAGTTTTAACATCACTGATGAATTAGACTGTCAAACAACGTAGACAAACTTTTTGCTTGTGCGTCATGACTTTAAATGTAATTTAAGGGCAGTTGAATTTTTGAGCTAGCAATTCCATATACCATATCTCAGGTCAGTATCTGTTCTAAGAGATATGAGAGATCTAAGAACACAGGTGTCAAGTTGTTCATTTTCGGGCGAAATAATGACGTTTGGAGATTGAAATGCCTCATCGCTCGAAGTAATTTAAAAGTGTAGATACAAATGTAATATATTTTGGACCATATGTTGATATGTTACGGTTCTAATATGAGAAGACTTTTCATTTCTCTAAAATTATTGTTGAAACTATGGTTTCTTTTGTTGAAAGTTGAATAGTGTCATTTGAAACATGAATAGAAAAAGTTGATTGATAGTTTAATTTTGAGATCAAGGTCACGAATTCAGATTTGCGCAGTACATTTTATGGGGATTGTAGTTTTCTTGCTTGAAGACTGTAAATGAACAGAGCAATCAGTTCAAGGTAACTTAGCCTAACCCATTTGTGGTCCTAATAATTCACACAGTGCTTCCCCAACAGCTCTGATATAAATCTCATGCACGGCACACTTGTGACAGAGGAGGAGGAGGAGCAAGTGGGAATGGAGGTAGTGTGTGTTTTTGTGTAGAGAAAAAAAAAACATTGTTCATGTAACTATTACTTGATACTAGTAATGTCCAACTCGTAAATTAAGTCAATGGGTCTCCAGAAAAATGCAAAACTTATGTCCAAGTCTTGCTCAACATCAGTTTTTTGATGTTACACTACTCTGGGCATATTTCTGCTGAAGGCAACAAATCAAGTTGATGTAGCTCTTAAGATTGACAGGGCTTGGAGGTGTCTTGCAAAGCTAGTATGTGAAAGCAGTCTTTATTATGAGAGGGTATGCAGAAAACTTAAGGAAGATGAAGAGATATCAAAAAGGTAAATTCTGCAATCTCTCATGAAAATATAGAGAAGTAGGTGACTTTACAGTAATGTCTTTTATGTCCATTTTCTACCAATTCATGTTAATATTTTGAGACTGATCAGTAACACTCATGAAAGACTACACAAATTATAGAATTGAAGGTGAATTAGTTTGTGTTGACAAACTTCCACCTTTCTACAATTATTGTATGTTTTAGAAGTAGTAATAAGGGACTACAAAAAATGATCAGAATATATGTAAGGTGGTTAACATGAGGCATCTATGCAACAAATGGTCGAAGATTCGTTTATTGTAAAAAAAAAAAAATGTTTTATTTTAATGATGATTGTGGTCTTTCAAGATCCTTTCCATAGGACTCTGCTCAAGACTCTTGAGTTTGCCTCCTTATGTCTGTCTTCTGTGATAAAAAGATAGAAGAAATCTTAAGGTAAAACATTTTGAATGTTATTTACTTAAATAACATGAATTTTTGTGTCTGAATTAATAATGCTCCTGACAGGGATTGAATCCCAGTGATGGTGATGAGTAGAATAGTGATGTAATAGAAGTTGAATATGCCAGTCTTAGGATGTCTTTGTTCGTTTTAAAACTGATATAACTGGAGTAAACAAATGTGTAATTACAAATAGAACATTGACATTGTGTTAGAAAAGGATACTTCAATCCTTTAGACATTATTTTAGCCTGAGACAAGTCTTTTTTTAAAAGCCAGTAATTTACTGTCTTATGTTAATATCAAGAAGTACTGTTGTAATCTCTTTGCACTTCTATGTCTTTTGCCCTGAATTTAGTCTTGGAATGATTGTGTTATGTATACACATACTTGCTAATTCCAGTTTTTTCCCCTGTGACAATAAATATAATGAATTTGAAAGTGCACGAGGACTCAACAATGAGCCATTATTGGTCTTATTATCATGCCAGTGCATTTCCATGTAATTCAAATCTGTGTTGTCACATATACTCATTTTTGTTGACTTAGAGTGGTCTAGAAAAGGGCATTGGACAGAATGGGGTAATTGTAGATTATGATTAATCTCGATCATGTTATGATTGAGATCATATAATTATTGTTACAGTGAGATATAATGGATAGGACTGGTGTTGTTTATCACAAAAGGAGTTGCTTCTGGTGATTGTGGAAAGAAAGCATGATTTTGACTGGAACCATTCTGATTTCAATCTCCACACTGTGTTTTATGACTTTTTTATAGTTGGTTGCATGAATGAAACACTGTGCATATCTTTAAAGCTTTGCTAGGAAGTCATTGAATTGTGAAGTCTCTGCAGTTGGAGAAAATACTCGCAAATAAAGTAACGGACTCAAGGTTTAGTAAACAGATTAAAATTCAAACATGTTTGCCTGTTTAATTTAACTTTCTAGTTTAGATTTTTATCACAATTGGTGTTTCAAGTTGTTCTAAACCAATCTTCATGATTATATTTGAAACAAATACTAATTCATATTTGTAGATTGTGACTAAGCTGTATGAAGAGAGCCACGAATAGAAAAGAAGTGCTCCTCCTACAGCATTGTGCTGAATTCTGAAAGTTACATTAGTGTGAAATTGGAGGATGCACGAGTTATCAAGTTTTCAATTGGATCTGCATGTGGTATTGGGCACAGAGAGGGCACAAAAATAGCACAAATAAAATGTGCATTATTATTAGAAGTTTTAATGATAATCTAGACAGAACAGTTATTTGTTTACCTAAGTCAAACAAGTATTTCTTGCTATGTTGTGGGTATGTGTGGGCATGTGTGGGCCTTCGTCAGAAACTTTCCTTTTTCAGTCTCTATGTTTAGCATTGTTAATTGTAAATTGGTGTTGGCTGTCTTTCTGTCAGGTCTTCATTATACTATTATTGATGTATGTATATATGCTTGCATGTGGACATATGTACATGCATGTTTGCATTATATGCTAAGAATTTAGGCTTGGGTATATGCATGTAAGTATTCACACACTGGCACATGTTTATATGTGAATATTGACACGTATGTATATATGTCTGTGTGTATATGCATGTACATGTATTTCTTCTATATTTCTCTCTTTTTATATTTTTATATTATAGGTACTATTAAAGTTTCCAGAAAAATTTTCTTGATTTGTAATATTTCAGTTAGGTATTTGAAAACCATAGTTTTGAGTATGATAAAACAAAATAAATTAGTCATAATTATTATCATTATTGTATTTTTTTATCTTAAATACTGAACTCTGTGATATTGTGCTTATACGTTTTTGAACATTTTCATATCATGAGATTCTCTTTCAATGTAGGTTTAGCTTGATGTTTTTTATGTCGTTAAGGCTTTATTAATAATGTAATTTCTGAATGTTGGATATTTGGATTAGATATTTCTTTAGATTGTATTATGATGCTTGTCTTACCGATCTCGTCTCATAATTCCTCATTTTGAATTTAAATGTTTATCAGGAGCATCGCTTGTCTGGTGCACTTTTGAATGGCTTATGTTGCTTCATAATTGCTGTGAAATATTGGTTAGTGAAGCTTAGGATTTATTGTTTGATAATAAAGGTCAATCCTGCTATTGTGAGTGGGCATTTGTTGTACATAGTCAAAGCAGGATACATATAGCAAATTGTGATATTTCCATTGAAAAAAATTTCATGGATCAGTGTATTAATTGTACGCAAAATATTACCATTTTTAAGTTGATTTAAAATCTCACTAATAGAAAATATATTCCAGTGTCCTTTCTTGTGCTCTGAGAACACATGGATAATAACACCTAATTATAATTTGATTATTAGGCAATAATGAGACAAACAGTAAGACTGAATTTTTAAAAATCTCAGCTATATATATTTCAAAATAATTTCATGAATTTTTGTGGTAAACATTGTTTTATTATTTCTCCAACTCTAGTGAAGTGGCGCAGGTAGGATTATTTGGTGGTTATGCCATGTATGTGTCTCGGTGAACAAAAATAAAATTTTAAATTTCAATTATATATTTGAAGATACAGAAGTGATAAACTTGCAATATCTTTATAGAGAAACATCATTTCAGTGACAAAGACTCTTTCACAACATTTCCTGTTTTCAAAAGTCTTTGATTCACATCATTTCAGAATTTAACCTAACTGAATATATTGAGAATTTTTTTGCGTTTTTCCCTACTTGTATGAAAATGTAATGTGTAATGAAAGCAAGGTGAACTGTCTTTTTAATTATGAAGATTATTATTTTAATTTTTATTGTTCTGTAAGAAAATATTCAGCTTCAGTTTTGTGTCAGATTTTTATGCAGCCACAAAATAGATTATGAATGATGGATCATTTTATGCAACGAAAAAGAAATGTCATCCTCCACATGGTATAGTATATTTATGATCCATGAAGTAAGCATTGTGTGAAGGCTATATTCATCAAGAAAATTCTGTTTTTGTTTCTGTTTTCCCAAAACTTTAAAGTATCACATTAGAATAATCTGTAACTTGGAAAGAGAGATCTTGTCACTGATAATGAAGTGGTTACATGTAGAAATATGGATAAATCTGTGATGAAAATTGAAAGTACAGATTATTTATCATTGAATCATTGTACAATAGCTCTATAAAATTATTGTCAAATTGAAATATTCCATCTCTGTTACTAATGCTAACAGATACATGAAACCATGTTTGTTATGAGGTTTTGGCCAAAAATTGTGAATATGAATGACACTGAGGTGTTCATAGACATTTTTGTTTAGTCTGTCTTCATGTATTACAGTTAAAACTGATTTTTTTGTTTGGGTGGATGATCCCTGCAATTTATTTGTGCATGTATTCAGTTTTATATAGAATTTAGTAGCTTTGATTTTTTAATGTGTACATATGCATAGAAATGTTGAGAGGTGCTGGATGTTTCAAATACTATATTTGTGAATGTTTATAGTTTTGTTTTCACATTTTCTCTTTCACAGCAGTTTATGATCTCTACCAGTGCATGTCTATATTTATTACGTATAATACTGAGCATTAAGAATTATCATGTGAAGGAAACAGCAGCTTTTTATATAGGTATATGGCTATATTTGTTATTTTTTCTGTTACGTTTTGGCTTAATTACATCTTCATATAATGATTGAAAAAGGGCTTGTAGAAAATTATAATAAATTTATTCTATCCTTCAGTAATAGGATTTTGGGTTCCCTGTCAATTAGGCTACATATTTAAAATATTCTTTCATTATAATTTGAAGATTCGTGGCAACAATATAATTCATTTATTGTCTTGAAAATTTTAAATGCTCTTGGTAATTCCATTCTTCACTACAATTGGAGGATCAGATTTACTCTTGCCTCTGTATAATGATAATTTTTTATATTAATTTTGAAAACTGAGAATTTTTGAAAGAATTATAAATGTATTGGGGAGTAAATAAGAGATAATGTTAGTAGATATGATGTCTTTTAATTCATTCATTCATTAAGTTGATTATCTTATATTAGATATTATTTTTCCCTTTCAGATTACTCACTTTTTATTAGGACATATCAAAATTTAACAATGAATCATCATATCTCATGCTTTCACAGGCATTTGTTTGTGGCACTTTAATTTCAGATTGCAAAGCTTCTAATTCTTACCAGCAGATATCTTATGGTAGGGTAGTGCTGTACTCGTTCCCAAATAAAGCATAATATACTTGAAATGGATAGCGGTTATTAAAATTTATTTATTTTTAATTGAGGTGCTTCTGGATCCTTGGCTGCTAATTTTCTCCTTTTAAACATTCATTTTTTTAATATTTCTTTTTATAGTCATTTATAAAAACTTATTTGTTTTATGAATTTATTTTTTGGATAGCTTTTTGTTGAAAATTGCGTGCTACCCCATGTCATTAAATGTGTTTTCTAATTTTGTTATAAATAATCAAGAAGCATGTTTAAGAATAGCATTTTTTGGAGGCAGTCATTGAGTAATGTATTTGGGAAGAAAATGGCATGAGATAATGAAAGGAATATTGAATTGTGCTGCCTTTTCTGAGCTGTACGACATAGCAGGTACTTTTTGTGGTGTTAAAAATATTAAAAATTATATACAAAAGTGATGAAACAAGGAGACAAACCTTCTAAATTTGCCTGATCTAAGAACTGAGAAAGTAGACGTACAAAAAACATTTCACAATATGACTTGTGATATGTGTATACACATTCTAAACCACAGTGCCTGACATCATAACTCGACTGTTGTTTTATCAGTTTTATTTCAAAGGATGGCGATTCGTATCAAATTATTTCATAGAGATTGCATTTCAACCTTTTTGTAGATTTCATAATTGTGGGTGTAGTTACTGAATTTGAGTTTTGTTGTTTCTGCTTTTAAAATCTCATCTTTATTCTAGTCATGAAAATGTTTGTGGAATGAAGTAGACAAAAACTGAATAATTTTGAGAAATGTATAATTTTTCATGATTGGTTTGCAATATGCACAAAATCATGACTCTGTCAAAAAGAGGCCTTTCAGGATGAAAGGTGCTAGTCTAATTTATTGAAAGGAAGTCAGCATTAATTGTAATTCTTCCAGCTTCTAAAATGCGACTGTTATCTTTTAAGATAATTCTATTCATAATGTTTTGCTTTATTTTCTTTCATAATGTCCCTCATTACTGAACAGCCTTTATCAGTTTGGGACATTATTATAGCCCCTAGTACCATCTTGCACATTACACTAGGAAAGATGGTCTTGAAATTATTAATGTTGAAAAAATTTAACGAAAACAATGAATGTGAAGCTTTTTCAATACTGAAATTTTTCAAACTATTTTAATGTTCAAAGTGAATGGCTTCTGGACAATGTTTTCTTGAGGGGAATGAATGAAGAAAAATTTTAATTTGAAATGTCACATAGATGATGTTTTTGTTGTGATTTGATGACATTGCACAATAATACTCTAGTTGTCATATGAACTTTGCCAACAGAATACCTCAGTAATAGCTGCACAACAATTGTATAACTATTGTATACTTAAGGGAATACTGTACCTTTAGTTTTAAAAAAATTTTGAAATTATACATTTCACAAATTTGAAATTTGCCCATTAATGTTATATTTGACGATTCAGAAATTATGAATGTGTAAAATCTTCAAATTTAATGATTTAATCAACAAGAGCACCATTTAAATGTTAAATACTTGAGAACAGACATTTGTCTGATATTCTATCAATATTTGCTATCCTTGGTTTTGTTTGGTGCTTTGTCTGTCTATATTTAAAATGGGCTAAACAATTCCCCAAAGACATGTTAAAACGTTTGGAAACCTTTTGATGAATTGCTGTTGTTGAGATAGTGATTGTTACATTTGAAATTAGCTACAATAGATTGTGTGTATTGTATTATTTCAGTCTTGGTAGTGTTTTAATAGCATCATCTTGTTCTCTAATTTGAATGTGTCATAAAGAACCTTTTGTGTTTAGATTGTTGTAAATTGTAAGATCTTTTAACATTCACACAAGAGCTTTAATTACTCATGTGTCTCTGCAATGAGCAGGATCTTGTGCTGTGTCATCTTCCAAAACATCTATGCAGCAGAACTATTTGATGTTTGTTAAGATGGTTTTGTTAGATGGTCTTCATATATTCTAAAATAACCTGTCATTGTGACTTTTAGGTGATTGTTGAAGTCTCTTTGCGGCTGTGGCATTTCCTTTACAACTCAGACTTTTTATTAACCTTTCTGCCTCCTGTGGCTAAATTTTTCCTTATTAAATTATTATTGCTACCATTTGATCTCTCTTAAAGGTAGAACTTTTTGAAATGCTGCTGAACATGACATAATTTCATACACCTCATTTTTGGGAATGAATTAAAGGCTGCTATTATATTGGTTTTCTGTGTGTTCTTACACACTTGTGTTCATTAGTTATATAATAACTATTTCAAATTTTTGCTA